AGCTCTTAATAAGATCCTAAATAAATTCTTTAATTATTAAATAATCTAAATAATATATCTTAATTAGTTTCTTAAAGTTATAAGAGGCCTAATAAATACTTATTCCTTTAATACTTATTAAAACAGCATAATAGAAATTATTTATATATACCTATAGTAATATAGATATCTTAACCTTACTTTAAATATTTTTATTAATTAATAGTGCCAGCTAGAGCTTTATATATTATAATATATAATCCTATTTATTAAATTTATAGAAATTCTCTACTAATCTAGATATATCTTTATAAATAATATTCTTTAGGTTATTAGCTTTAAGAACTTACTAAATATAGTCCTCCTAATATTTAATATTCTCTTTATCTTATAACTTCTTAATAATATCTAGAATAAGCTAACTATCTATAATTTTAGTTATCTAATTAATACCTTTAATTATTAATATAACTACTACTTATTAAGTAAACCTTTAATTAGTTCTATCCTTATTATATAGGCCTATTAATATCTAATTTGTTAATTAGGTAGGTATAGATTTTTTAAATTTAATTATTATTAGTCTTTTTTAAATATATTTAGCCCCAGGGGAACTGTTTATATCACCTATATCACTTATATTACCTATTATTTTATAGACGTCAATATTACTTAGATAGGATCTTAAATAAATAAGAATTTATTTAAATATAGTACACTCTATCTTTTTAAATAATATGCTACCATGTTGGCCTAGTAGGCCTAGAAAAGGGAAGAGATAGCTAATGGTTGCTATTACTGCTATAGCTTAGACGCAAAGCAGGTGGTTGTGCGGTGTGGCCGCGCTAAACAAGGCGACGCTAAGCCTAATCAGGCACGCACCTCTGACAATTACTATTACTACTATAGCTTAAATATAAATTAGGTGATTATATGGTATAGCTGTGCCAAATAAGGTGATACTAAGCTTAATTAGGCATACACCTCTAATATATTTTATTCTTTAAATTTATAATTAATTATTTATATAAATAATAATTTTACTCAACCACTTAATAATTTAGTCTTAAATTTAATAAATTAGATTTATTAATTATTTATTTCATTAATAAATCTTTTTATCTCTTTATATATCTAAATATTTTTTAGTTATAATTATATTCTTAATACTCTTATTAATAAAGTTATAAATAATTATCATTCTTTTTATTATATTATTATTTGTTTTAAATAGCTTATAATTAGCTTTTATTATTTAATTATTTTTACCTCAGCTTCTTATAATTTTTTATTATATATTTTTATTTTCAATAATTATAGTATTATTTACTAAATACCCTTTTCTTTAGCTATTCCTTAACTATGTTACATTTTATAAATTTAGGTGTATATAAATCATTATATTTTTTTATTTTCCGCATATTAATTTAAGATGATAATTCTTTTATCTTAGGACCTAAGATCTATAAATATTATCAATTGATTTAAATAAGATTAAGGATCTAGTCTATAAATAATTATTAAATTTAAATATATTTCTTTTAAATAATATTTGCTATATGTTAGTCTTTTAAATACTAAATATAATTGATTAAGTAAAAAAGAAGTAGGGCCCTTATTTTATATATAAAAATAACATAAAGAGTCTATTCAATTAAACTAGTACTTAAGTATTTAATTATTATTTATAAGAACTAAATATCTTAAGAAATAAGTATTTTTATATAACTTTTTGCTATAGCTTTAGCTATAATACTTATATAGCCTAGACTAGCTAAACCTGACCCGCAGGTCAGGTTTGGGGCACTAGATTCCTTACTCACTTAGTTTCTAGGTATATACTCACCTATAGATATAGTGAGTTTTAATTAGGAAATCTATAAGTACCTGGCACATAGTTTTATATACCTTAGATTACCTAAATAGGTTAATTACCTTCCTAATAGGGTTAGACTTAGAAACTTTTATACTTCTTATTTATAAAAAAGTGAATATCTAAAGATTTAATTAGTTTAAAACTAGTTATATAAGAAACCTTAAACCTGATGGGTTTACCTATACCTATAGGTTTTAATTAGTAAATTGTTGGAGGTGTCTGCCTAGTTAGGCCTAGCATCATCCTGCTTACCTTTTCTCTCTCGCCTGCGCACATCCTAGATAGCTTCACTACTATTATTTATCTATATATCTCTTCTACTTTCTCTAGGCCATCTATTACTTAATATAGTAGTATATTGCATTTGCTTCTAGGTCTAGCATTATATTTATCTTTTTTATATTAATTTATTCTTATTAAGAATTAGGGCCTATGGGCTAGGCCTAGGGGCTATAAAGCCTCTAGGCCCAATATGTCGCGTTAATATAAGAAAAATTTAGAAATTAATACCTATAGGTAAGGCCTATAGGCAGGGGCCTCTAGGTCACTATTAAGATTTAATATTAATAATTTAACATTAATAATTTAATATTAATATTTTTTTTATTATAATTTAATAAGAATAGTATTGCTAACTTTAGGGGTATATGCTAATAACCTCTCCCCCCCCCCTCTTCTATTATAACTAAAACCTTCAAATCGCGACTAGAAATAATTATAGATAAAGATTATAGGATAACTATAAGAAATGGCATATCCTATATAATAACTATAAGATAGCAAATAGTGATAGTAATATAGGGAAAGATGATATCTAAAGGGCTAAGAGGAGGATTAGGATTATAATTTTTTTTTTATATATTTAGTATTAAGTAGAGCACTTTAATAAAGGGGGGTATATTAGAGGTGTCTACCTAATTAGGCCTAGTATTATCCTGCTTGCCTTTTCTCTCTTGCCTATATATATCCTAGATAGCTTCACCACTATCATCTATCCACACATCTCTTCTGCTTTCTCCAGGCCATCCGTTGCCTGACATAAATCTATACCTGACCTGGGCGCGGGTTGGGTCAGGTTAGGTTAGGTTCTCTAGGTTAGGTATAGCCAGTCTAATATTATAGCTAAGGCTATAATATTATATAACTCCTAAGTTAACCGTATATTTTTATAACCTATATTTAGAAGTTCCCTACTAATTATTTTGCCTGATGAGACTGCTAGGTGTCTATTATTGTAACACTAGCCTTATTAGGAGACTTAGTCTAGACGTAAATAAACTTAATAAATCTTAGTAGCCTATATATTTATTACTAGCTTTATAAAAAATACTAATAAGCTTATAATATCAAAAGTTTATTAAGATCTCAAATGTAAAGAATATTAGGATAATAAGGATCATAGACTAAAGAAATATAAGTGAGTGAGTGAGTATTGCATTATCCTCCAATATAGCCCCATTTAGGGCCCTTTTAAAGTTAATATTGGAAAGGATAATCTTCAGGCTATTCATTAAGATGATTTATAAATTTATAATATTACCTGATTAATAAAGCTGTAAGGATCTGCCTGCATACCCCCTAACACTCTAAGAGTTACTATATATATACGGCCCTGGGGACCGCGATTAGGGTAATCGCGGCTAATGTTGACCTTTTGGTCGTGTGGGCTAGCGTCCCCAGGTGCTAGTTTTTACAAAAGCTTAATATAGTTACCTAGCTTCATATACTAATTTTGATTTGACATATTCAGCTTAACTAATGTTAGATATGCGGCGCTACATATAAATCATATAGGAATATGATACTATTAGCCTTGATTATGTATAGGATTTGTTAAATTAGCTCAATCACTATATTTCTTTTCATACTTGTTGCCTGCCTACAAATTGTTGTCATCATGATTGGTAGGGACTACATTATTGAATTCATAATGACAGGGTATCGCAAATTGATATTAGTAGTAATCTCGCCCATATTGAACAGAAAGATCTGCTGGAGAGTAAAGGGAACTGAGATTCGGTCAATCGAGTTCTTGTCTAGGTCTGGAACCTTGATTGATAACCAACGAACATAATCTATTTCACATCAAAAAGTAATTACCATGTATTCTAGAAAGGCGGGATAACGAAAGAAGAGCACAACAGGGGCAGAATGGCAGAGAAAATGCATCGTATTCAAGGTTAAGAGAGGAAGTAGAGTGTACTACGTACTGCCTTGACATGTATGTAAACTGACCAAACTCTCAGTGCTTTCCTGACGAATGGGGCGGGGACGTGATATGAGGCTGTTTTGGGGCAGGCGTAGCAATACAAAAATCACACAAACTTAGCAGGATCACTGTGAAAGAGGCGGTTGGTAATTCAGGGGACGTCTTTCAAATAAGGTTCATATTAGCTCTTGTAAATTCCCTAGACTGCTGCAGTTATTCAAGACTGGAGGCGAAGCGTACTTGAAAAGCAGAATATGTGGCTCAGGCTCATGCACTTCATAGTGTTCCCATCCCAAACTCTTGACATGATGAATCAGCTCTTCAGTTCCAGGCTTTTGTTCCGAATCTGTTCATGGCGTACCTGGGTTATACCAAGAGCTCGCCATTCTTCTTCCCAGAGCAGTTTTAATGTTCCCTTTGAGCTATCGAAATATTCCGCTGGAATCTTTTTCAACATATTCTTTGGAAGCTGTACATGGCGGTATTCAAACAGGTCGTCCGAGTATCTCGATTATTCAGTAGGCTGCTTCTTGTCATTTCATAGTATTCCAGCTTACCTGGCCGAATAATGTATAGAGTCAATGAATTCCTCAAGCTTGTCCCTTTCTGACTCTAGTAAAGGGCGAGGTTTCTTATTTCTTCTGCTTGTATCGATATCCATGTGGAGGTTTTGAGGTGGATTTGAACCGGCCGTTTAAGTCCAATTAGAAATGTGTTAATATCAATGGACTTGATAAGAGATAGATGGTCGACTTTGAAGATATAAGCCTTGCAAAGGACAGTGTTGATTTTTTTTTCTAAAAAAAAAAATTCAGTATTCGCTAGAAGCAAGTGAGTCTGGTTTGATACTTCATTAGGTGCCTTAATATACAGGCGGCTAGCTGTTCAAGCCCTCACTGGCCCTTCTAAGCCATCAAGAAGCGGGGCCCGTCAGGACAACAGGCAGCAGAAGAACCCTATAATAATAATCTCCCTATGCTGGATTAATATTACTGGAATATATAAGAGATATTAATAACTAATGATAATAATATTAAGAGTATCTATTTTTCTAAGATTCACTATGGAATGCAAATATTTATCAACCAGATCAGAAGCATATTTTATGAATACCTCTCTGAAATATAATAAATAATGTTAAATAATAAAATAGTTGTGATGATGACAGTAAGGTGGTTACTTTAATAGCCTTAATAATAATAATTAAATTATATTCATGGCCACTAGACAAAAATAATTAGATAAGCAGAGGAAGACGGAAAGAGAGGGATTAAATATATTTATATTAATTTATTAAATATCCTTTCTACAATTTTTACACCAATCCTGAGTAGGTGTTAGCACTATTAGACACTATCAAGGTTTATAGCTAAGGAGTAGTTATATAATAATAAAACTCATTATCTTTAAGTTCTTATAAATAAGGGGACCTAATCATAGTTAAATTAGTCTAGACTGGCTAAACCCGACCCGCAGGTTGGGTTTAGGGTACTAGATTCCCAACCCGCCAGGTTTTGGCTAGTTATGCCTAGGGCAAACCTATACCCACCCATAGGTATGACGGGTTTTAATTAGGAAACCCATAAGTACCTAGCATATGATTTTATATACCTTAGATTACCTAAATAGGTTAAATATCTTCTTAATAGAGTTAGGTCTTTTTATTATGATATCACAAATGATATCATAATCACCTTCCTAAGTCGCGCCAGGTAGAATCACCTTAGTGTACGCCAAGGTGCCCACTAACCATAATATATATACTCTACTAAGATCCCCTGATTATAGTAAAGTATTATATATAAGTTCTTACTTTAATTTAAGGATTAATAGATTCTATAAAGTTTTATTATTATCTAGTTGCTTAGCTTTAATAAGCTAAGAAGAGATATATAAATATCTTCTCTTAGATCTATAATAGTAATAGATAAAGATTCCTCTAAAGATACTTAGCTTTTAAATATTATATCTAGTAGTATATTATATTAAGGGTTAACCTCTATACTAACCCTAATAAACTACTATACTATAAATAATATTTAAAGATTAATAAGATTTAGAAGTAAGATAAAAGGGATAAAAGATCCCTTAAATAAAGAAAAAAGAATTATTAAATATCTTTATTAAAGAAATTAAGTAAATAAAAGATCTAATCTTCTATTATAAGTTAATAATAAACTTTATTAATAATATATAAAATTATTTATTACTTAAGATATTTAAAATCCTCTTAATAATTATAATTATTAAAGTAAATAAAATAAATATTTACTCTCTCTTAAAATACCTAAAGTAAGTACTTTAAGATAAAAGAGACTAGATAAACTATTTAGTTTAAAAATTAAAGACTACTTATATATAAGTAGCCTAGCTTTAAGATAATCTTTATTAAATAACTATTAAATAGCTAGGCCCCTAAAATAATATTTAAGTAGTTATTAATAAAACTAATTATTAAAAGTAAATTAATAATCTTATTAATTAAAGTAAATATCTTTATTAAAAGATCTTAAAACTTAATTAAATCCTTAGATATATATATAAGTATTAAGATAAGAGTACTTAAAAATAGTTATAGTAAGTAAATAAATACTTTTAAAATAAAGAAGTCTTATATAAAAAGTTTATAATTAATAAAAAGAAAGTTTTAATAATAAAATAAAAGCTTAATAATAAAATATATAAATAATAAAGATATTTATAAAGCTTAGTTAATAATAAGCTCTATACCTCTATTAAGATTATAATAAAATTTAAGAAGTAGATTATTAATAATTATATTAAATATCTTAATAAAGAACACTATTAAAAGGTATATAAGAACCTTATTTAAGAAAAATAATCTATTTAAATATATATTTATAAACTAGTAGAGGTTATAAACTAGATTAATCCTTTATTAATAAAAAATATATTTATTTAATAATTTATTATAAGTAGTTAAAAGTAGCTTTAAAAATAATAAGTATATAAATTTAATAAGTTAATTACTTTAATTAAAGTTATTATAAGATTTACTCTTTATAAAAAAAGGGCTATTATTATATAATATATCTATAAGTTAATAAAAGTACTAAATATTATAAATATTAATATCTTAAATTAACTATATATTTTATTAGAGAGACTTATCCTTAAAAATTAATATATACTATATTCTTAATAATTAATTATTAATATAAGAGGACTTTATTTTATATATAAGAAACTTAAATATTATATAAAAAATTATTAATATAGTAAAATCTTAATAATAAGCCTTATAATAAAGGCCTTAAAGGAGGAAAATAAAATTAACTATTAAAATTAAAAATATTAATAATATAAATACTTAAGGCTTTTATAGTCCTTAATATTAACTTACTTAATATTTTAGACCCTTAAGAATTACTACTCTTATAAAAAGATAAAAAGTAAAAAATATAAAAAAAGAGATAAAAATTAATAACCTTAATAATACTAATATAAATTAATATTAAAGAATAAAGAAAGAGGAAGATTAAATATATAATTCATAATAAAATATTTAATAATTTTATAAATAATAAGATATATTGGCCTAGCAGGCCTAGAAAAGGGAAGAGATGGCTAATAGTTACTATTACTACTATAGCTTAGATATAAAGTAGGTGATTATATAATATAGCTATACTAAATAAGGTAATACTAAGCTTAATTAAGTATATACCTTTAATATATTCTTTATTACTAAGCACTTATCTAGACTAGCTAACCTCTTATTTAATATTAATTAAAGTATAAAATAGCAGAAAAAGGGGATTATTTACTTATTAATTATTAATTATTCCTTATTTAATTTATTTTTAATATAGGTTAGTATTACTACTTTCTAAAGATTAACTAGTTCTTAAAATATAATATACTTTACTTAATCTAGAGGCTTTATTAAGTTATTAATAAGGTTTATATAACTACTTCTTTATTTAACCTTAATTAGCCCCTTATTAATTATATTATAAATAAAAAAGTAATAATTATTAATTTATTTAATTATTATATTAAAACTATTCTTCTTAAGAATAT